CACACACACACACACATACACACACAGAAACGCATGCTGCGGCTGCTGCCTCCATCCTTTGCCTGCATCCTTAAACTCGCAGTTCTCAAATTCTACAGATCTGAAAATGGGCGTACAGATCGGACAATGTGATTTACACCATTTCGAAATTTTTATCATCGCGTTCATCATCAAACTTTATCGAAACGATCACCCCTTGTTCAATACTCATCAGACATTATTATATTCTGAAATTAAAATAAAATTTAATGCGTGCCTTTTTTTCTTTCTCACTTTTCAATTCCCGTTACGTAGCGTGATTCCTCTCTTCTTTTGATATCTCATAATGATGTGCTAATCGTGTTATTTCGATTCTTCTTCATCCGTGCGTCTCCTTAGATGCTCTCTTATTTCTTTCTACGACTGATGTCCTGATGCCACCGCGTACATTCCTCCGCCTGAACAGACTTTATCTCGCGGAGACTTACCAAACGATAGTCGACAATCATTGAAGAAACATACATTTAGAAACTTGTACGTGTTCTTTTCACCGAAGACTAGGTATTAATTATCGTCACCGGCGTGTTTGCACAAGTCTCGTGCAGGCAATGGAGGTGGCATCGGTCCTGAGAAAAGTAAGAGAGCAAGGCGTATTGATTGCCTACGATGCTATCCTATCGTGTTCGTAATGCTTTTGCCTCTCGCAAGTGTACCTCAAAACGCGATTTTGATATCGATCGACACGTAGGTACTGCGATGCACACACGAAACATATCATCGAGCCAATCAGCCGATCCTACCACTCCCAATTAGGAACTGCAATGAGGGACGTGGAATGCAATTAAGTGATTGATGCTTCAAGTTACTCAAACTGCAGTTGTTGCTCACAATCAAATTTTTTTTTCTCTTTTCGCGATGCTACAGTCGTGACGCTTAGAAACGAAACTTAGCCAACCAGCCAAATCCCGTAAAATGATACACTATACTTGGTTTGATTGGTTTGACAAATAACGCGCGTAGCAATGACAATCGTCATAATTTACTTCGATATAATCTGAATCAACGTGATATCAAGAATAGTATTCATGGGCTGTGCACTTAAATAAAAATGTTGCTTTAGTTTTAAATTTAATGCTAATTTTTGGCACTTTTGTGAAACGTGATTTCTGTGATTTCTGAATATCTGTGAATGATAAATTGATAGAAACTCAGTAGAAAGTTATTAGAACTTTTTCGCTTCGATAAACATACAACATAAGCATATCAAATGCGTAATTCTTTATCCCAATAAATTCATTAATCTTTACGATAAAAAAAAACTAAGTTAATTTCATATACTTCTGATATTGTCATCCTTTAACTAAATTTTAAA